GTTTTTTCATCAACATGTTTGTTGCTTTGCTGAAATCTTTTGCATTTTAGTTAAACCTCATGCATGAAAACAATGGTGGCCCAATCAAGCGATATTGATACTTGAAATTACTTTTATGATTGAATTGAAATCTTATTTTACTTTGTTATGCTCTCGGGAAAAAAAGTGTGATTTATTTTGCAATACTCCTTATGTACACATTTCCATTTTTTAATTTTAAACATTTCATTGCACTGTACATTGATGATAATAGGTAGAGTTAGTGATATAGTATAGAAAATGGAAAATAAAATATAAACACTTATCTTAAAAACTTTGAAATTCGTTTATAAGGTTCCAGTGATTATGCAAATGAAATCAGAAAACTGCAAGATAAAAAGTAGTATTTTTATACTTCATATAAAAATCACCTTGTAGATGAACTATTCAGAATCCAAGTGCAAATAAAAAAATTTTTTATTAGAATTAGTAGAAAAAATCAAAATTGAATATTTTATTTTTCTGAAACTACATGATTTAGGAAAGTTCTGGTCAAATTTCAAACATTTCATCCACTAGTTTTATTTTTGGAATGAAATAGAATGATAGCGACATTAGGCCCTTAAAATTTGGAGATGTAATAGCAAAAGGATTATAGAGTTTGAGAGCATCTCGGTGCTTCATAGCATGTTTGAGTCTTTGGCTAGCAACCTGAAAATGGTATTTCAGCAAATAAAAAGGCACACTTGAAACTGTGTACTCCTGCATACAAAAGTGCAGTTTCTCAGTCATATATTGGGTAGCATAGTAATTTTCATGGGACATGCTAATATAGCAATAATAGGAGATTAGTTTCAGTTTGTAACCAAATGAGAATTCCATATTCCCTTGGTTCTGCACTGTACTACCTAAGTTTATGGTCAATATCTAAAATATCATCTTTCCTTTATCAGCTCTTACTGAAGTAGAAATGCACTTCATATGGAATGAGGTAAGCTAGTTAGAATTCTATTCCTTTATATGTAGACCCGACATGGCCAGGTGGTTAGGCACTCGATTCGCAATCCGCGGGTCGCGGGTTCGAATCCCTGTCACACCAAACATGCTTGCCTTTTCAGCTGTGGGGGCGTTATAATGTGACGGTCAATCCCACTGTTCATTGGTAAAAGAGTAGCCCAAGAGTTGGCAGTGGGTGGTGATGACTAGCTGCCTTCCCTCTAGTCTTACACTTGCTAAAGTTGGGGACGGCTAGGTGCAGATGGGCCCTCGTGTAGCTTTGCGCAAAATCCATAAACC